ACACCAAAATATAATTTCACTCGGTTAATCATTTGATTTGTGAACGGTCCAGGCACGGTTCAGTCGATCGAACGGACCAGACACCAAACAAAGTTTAAAAACAGTTCAAAATAAAATTAGCMCTCTCCATGCACCCATCGGTCAATTTAACCGACCTCACACCCTGAAATTGTTACTCGGGCTATTACCTATTGGTTAATAAATGTTCACTCTCTCTCTAAGCTATCTATAGTTGTTTGAAGTTGTCTACTCTTTTCCGATTTCTGTTGAAAAAAATCGTGTTTCTCAGTCTAAAATCTTGAAGTAAATAAGAACATAAACTGTTGTTGTTTAAAAATACGAAAACCGTATAGGCACAAAATATTTTTTGTAGTTAAATAAATATTGCTCATAGATAATTTAATATATTACTCATAGATACTTAAAACTTTTCAATTATAATTAAACTTCCATTTTTTACCAAATTTTTTCCCAAATTTTTTTTCTATTTTTTGTAGTTAAATAAATATTGCTCATAGATAATTTAATATATTACTCATAGATACTTAAAACTTTTCAATTATAATTATACTATTAGTTTCTTATATATACATTACAAAATGTAATTTTTTAAATATTTAGATAAATTAAAAATTATTCATTCTACCAACTAGCTATACATAATTTTACCGAATTAAGAAAATACCAATACTAACAATAATTTATGCATCATAAATTATCTTTTGAAATGGACTAAATAACACATTCATTTCACAGTATTGCCATTAAAAATTAACCTAGTTGTATAACTATATTTCATGTACACTTCACTTAAAATCTACTAAAAAGAAAGTCGAGTCTTATAAAGATGATTTTGGCATCTTTTGTTCACAATAAGATACATTAAGATGTGCCTTAATATTGAATTGGGTCTTGTAAATTGCAGTTAACCAATATCTATGTGTAATTTTACTGCAGCGTCACGCCCTTTCTAGTAGGACCTGTTACTTCATACCTACTTATTATTAACAGACTGAGCTTACAAAAAAAAAAAATGTCGTCTACATTTGTCGGTGTAGTGTATCTAACATATGTATTTGGTAATATTACCTGACAAGTGACATATAGGTATGGCTTGGTCAAATTTGTATTTATATGACTAGATATTGATAACATATTTAATCAAATAACTGATACCGAACATTCAAGGCTCGTTTTAAAATTTGTTTCGAGGTTTTTGTATGCAAATTCTAAAAGTTTACCGAATATAATTGTATTTTAAACTGTGTTTAGGTTGCATAAAAATATTGCTTAGCTATTAATTAATTATTTAAGTAAAAGTTTATCAGGTTTACAAAAATATCAATCCCTTAATTATAATTTTTTTTCCTATCATCGTTCATAATAATTAACAGGGCGTTGCTTTAAAAAACACAAATCAATAAATAACAGGATATCTGAAACCTAAAATCAAAAAAATGATCCTTCAAATTAATATAGATAATTCCATTAACTGAATATGAACATAACATTGGTCACAACTCCTCAAAAATTTAAGTACCTATATACTACTTTAAAATCAACTCGATACCTGATTGACGATGGTGTAGTAATTTTTATTTCATTAAATAACGATTGGTATGTGCATATATAGATAGATTTTTGTATTGTTTGTAAATGGTAAATACATCATGACTTATATTACTTCAAATTACTACATTTTACAGTTACCTATTTTATTTATTACTTGTTTCCAAGTCCTCATCAGGTTCASCCTATGTATGCATCGCAAATAATTTTATAACGAGTAATGGTTTTATATGACGGCTGATGGTTATTATTTCTAATATACCTTTTATTACCTTTATTTTTCTATTATAATATTGAAATTAATGTTTTATAATGTCTCTATTATTTGATAATTTTAAGTAAAACATTTGAATATTTTTTTCAAACCATACCCATTTATATTATTAAAACAAATTAAAATATGGGACTTTTTACTGTAGGTCAATACACCAATAAATGTTATAATTTAATCAACTATCATATTATGATTATTGTAAAATTGTTTCTATAAAATATATGTCTTTCATATTCAACATCATAACAATATATTAATATAGATATATAATATATATGTGTGAAGAATTAACAATTTGTCATTAAGGCCGTATGAAATAACAATCAACGTGATTGACAGCCGAACAATAAATGAAAATTCGAATTATTCGAGGTCATTTTGACTAATATTTCATCACTCAAATAATCGGTGACACGCGTGGTTATTCTGTAAATATCGTCTTTGTGGCAAAATTTGAAATTTTGTGTAAGTTTATAGGTACATATTTTATACAAAAATGTGAACGATCGATAGATTACTATTCTTCTTCTTCTTCTCAGCTTACCGGTCCGTTGAGGACCATTGCTGCCTTCAAGAAGTCTCGCCATCTCTTTTTGTTATAAATCAGGTCAAAACTTACATTATGATCTATTACTTTTAGGTCTCTGATTATTACATCGATCCACCGGGTTCTTGGTCTTTGCAAGGGCATTGTTTTGGTAATTTTTTCTAGAATTAATTTTTTTAGTAGTGTTGTCGTTTGCTCTCCAAGTGTATCCAAATCATTCTAGTCGTTTGAGATTACTATTCATTATTCAATAAATACTAACTAATATGTTTTGTTTTTTCTACAGTATTATCAAAATTTAAATAATTTTTTTTTTTTGGTTTCTCCATTTTTTTTATTTTTTTTTTTAGATTATTATTTTGATTTTAGGGGCATGAAGTGTGCAATAAGTTGTAGTATTGTTTCAAATAAATTGTTATGACCATAACGCTTACACCACATGTACTCGACCAAGTAGCTGTTCAGTATTGGTCGGTAAGTAGCCCACTGTTTTTATTTCGAGATTTAATTTTGCTCCAAGAACTCTCAATAGTATTAGTTTGAGCCAAAGTATTAGGATCTATGTATAAAATTATAATAAGCCAAAGAAACTTTTCTAATTCCTGTTCCCGACAGATCAGCACGTACATTGTTAAGAATTATTATTGAACATGTTGCTCCTGGCATGACAATAATTATTACTGATGAGTGGCGCTCCTACCAAAAGCTTGATCTAACTTATCAATACATTTCCGTGAATCATTACATTAATATATATATATATATAATCATCTAAAAAAAAAAGCGGAGGAACCAAAAAATAAATAAATAAAATAGTGGTAGTGAATTAACGGAAAAGGTCCATTTTTATTTAGTTTTAATTTGTCGTTAGTTGATTATATTGTTACTGCCACGGGAATGCCTCCTCATATATTTCCTAATGTTGGTATAGTATTACCTATTGATAGATATTTACACTATGTAAAATAATATATTATATTCAGTGGTATTACTTTTAAACTTACAATAGCGTTCCCTTTTTATCGACCATACGTCAGTGATGAACTTATAGGATTTTATTCTTAGCTGGCAACTGCACAGGTAATGCGAACGTGATAAATTTATCGTAATCCTGGACTGGGTCCAAAGCTTCTGTGGTAAGGGTTATTTTTTTATCAACGGTTAAGTGTTAGGCGATTTAGTCTAATAATATTACGTTTGCTAGTTGAATAGTACAAATATATCGGTATATAATCAAATTAACTTAAACAAATGTTTAGACTTTAAAGTACTTACACCAAACCAAAAATGATAAATGATTAATCTATTATAGGCGTATTATATCTTATCAATTAAGAAAATACACTTGTTAAAATAAATACAATTATTATTATTTAGGTAATTTTATATGTTCAAAAGTTGTGTTATATATTTATTGATGTTTTATAAAATCTAAACGTATAGTTATAAATTATTATGATATTAATAACTGAATAGTTTAAGACCACATAAGTTATAAAAATATAATTTAGTTTTTTAAAGTATTTGCAGTTGAATAACTAATATATTTTGATGGTAAATTATTTGTGATGCAATTATTTTTATATCGTAAATCGTTTATAGTCAATTACCGTGTATTCGATTTCCACTGATGAGGGTTTTTAATAACTTTATAAACAGTGAATAAATTTATAATACATATATAGTGTACATAAAACGTGAATTTGTCTTAATTTACCAAAGACGGTCAGAATTGGTTTTCAGACTTTCCATTTGTGTGTATTGATATGTGCTTTATTTCTCTTCGGATTAGTTCCTGTTTGTCTTCTAATGTAGTGAAAAAATAGGTTGAATCATTATAGATTTTTTTTCTAACAACGATTAGTAAGTAGTTAAGAAGCCTGCAGAGTTACTGTCCATCTACAGGAATGAGAATTGATAGGCTTCATAATATTAATTTTAACATTGATTTCGTGTATATTAAATGTATGGATATATATATATATATATATGTCATATTACCAGTTAATAACAACTTATAATTTCATAATAAAATCATGGATGTGAACTGCTACGTATACCGTACACAATATAATTATTATAATATTACACACTCACGTTATGAGCGGATTATGCATCTCGCCCGCTTATTATTTATGTTTTTTTTTTTATCACACGGTAATCCACTTTTGGCTGCCGAAACTTGGTTTTGGGGTTATTTTCTTTAAATATTTTATTGAGAGTTATTGTCGCGCCGTAGAGGGCAACGATCGAGACAGAGGCTGGAAAATCGGCAGCGTAGGCGACACGTGCATCAGATCTCGTATAATATGTTCGTGCGCGTGTGCCKGGCGCGTTTTTTCGCCGCACGCCCGGCTGACTACCGTCGCCGCGCCGTCAGACTATTTCAGGCATAGAAAAACGTATCCGCCGCCACTACCACCGTCATCGCGCCGGTCGTGTTATCAACTCGCAGCGCTTATATAACGGCTTCAATGATATTTACAAAATTATGAAACACATTCGCGAATTTCAGCGTCGTGCTCGTTGTATAGGTATATTATAAAATAATATTATTTATTATCCTACATCCATCTGCTATAAGGCGCAAGATATTTGTCAAACTGTTGGCGGGCGCACCATTTGCAGGTGTCGCGGTACATCAAGAAGTTTGCTGAAAAAAAATACATTCCATACCATACTTAGATGACCTGTCGACCTCACTCCATGACTTATCCCGCTGCCTACCTCCTTCTCATAGGTAATGTGATTATACGTGTATAATACTGTGTTTATTGCGGCACCATCTGATTGTTTTCTCCTCAGAAGCATTATTTTTTGTTATACGACGAAAATATGCTCTGTGCTTCAGCGTATTATCGTCAATAAGGAGTTCGTGTATCACTTGTACACGCTTGTAAATTACGAAATAAACAAATTCAAGCTAACTGTATTATTATTTATATTTTTCAATATGTTATAATCTTGGTTAAAAAAATTAGAACCAATTCCTGTAAACGCTTCCACTAAAAATAATGAGTAAAAAGAATGATATTTATGTAAAAGGGTTTGCATGTTAATGTGTGATGATTCCTAGAAGTTCATAATTGAATATTCATTAATTTCCCTTTTTCTAAAAAACATATCGAATTATATTAAGAATTTCGTAAGGTCCAAATATTTAATCTAGCAACTCGTGAACCGCCAATACCGTAAAAATTATAGGTAGATTCTAGATATTTATAATATGTGTTATATAATTTATCGACGACAACATTGTGCGCGCGCAATTTCATTCGCTCCGTTATAATATATATTATTACATTATACATATAACCTTATACACATCACATAATAGTATTATCAACACGCCTTCCACTACGCCGTAACGGTTGGTTCTATAGGTATAAAATACATTGCGGTATATCGTATATATATATATATAGAATAGGTAAGGTTACCTTTAAGAGAAGAACCCATTATTATTATTATTTTCCTATCTGTATCATAGACCATAGCTATCCCATCCGTCCGGTTTTGTTCAATTATTTTTATTGGCAGCTTGATGGCGGGATAGGATAATGAGAAGAAAAAGAATAATTTTTTTCATCGACACATCTTACCTTTTGTATCTCCCGATTTTGGCGCTCGTGCGTGTATTCGCAATCGCAACTTCTGATAAAGCATTTTTATTTATTGCTGTTATTAATAATAATTTAATTTAATTAGTGTTTTATAGTCCGCAATGGTCTACTTTTTTTTCCAAATGAGAATTTACTTTTTGGTGTAAATTGTTAAACAGAAAATTTTTTAAAATTAAATAGCTTGACCAGAAGTACCTATATCGGCTATACCTAATATATATTTTAGTATTTATTTTATTTGGAACATGTTTACAATTTATATAACTTTGATGTTAGTATATTGGTATCGTACCTATCTGACTAAATACAATTCTCAAGTATACTAAAAAATTCTATTTTCTATTTTAAATACTTGGCAATTTAGATGAGCTATACATAATGTATACTTGGATGAATCACCTGCATGTATATATGTTTGAAAAATGTTATGAATAACGTATAAAATCAAACCCTGTAACATTGTGACATCAATAACGTTGTTGAAATGGTAGCGATTTGCCACCCTTTGACATAACTATTTTCGAAAAATTGAAAAAAATTCTTAAAAAATATTAACGTGGTGCAATTTGTTAGCCAAAATAATACTTGAAATAATGCTGTGATTTTAATGGAGCTATATGTAATAAAATAACTGAATATATATATACCTTGAGTCAGGCAGTTACGTTTAGAGCTGCAGGTGCCTATAGGTACTATTATATTTTGCTTATTATTTTTCTTCTTTTTTTTTTCATTTAAATATCAGTCACATTCCTTGGTTTATGGAATGTTATTAATACAGATTTTTTTTTTGAATTCATTCAAACTAAAAATGTTTCAAACATTTTTCCTTAACTCCTGTTTTTATAATTTTATTATATTTATTTACTACATAATATTATATCATACATGTATTATTTATTTTCCTTTTCAACATAATTTGTTTTGTTTTTTTATTATAATTTTTATAATTTTACGGTGTTTATTCAATAATCTTATATGAACGTGTATGTTAGTAGTTTGTATATTGAGTTTTTTTTATGTCAATATTATAATTAAAACCATCGTACTAACGTTTTATTTTTTTACAGTATTTTCTTGCGTATCATAAGAATGTTTTATTATTTTTACTGTCGGTAAAAATACAAAAATACAATAAACACGACTGTTCAGTTCATAAATCTTATTTAATATTCCGCAGTTTTGGAAGTTATATTTGACGATAGTACATAATAATATGTATTGAAAAATATTGTGCTTCATATTAAATTAGTTTTATTCATCATTCCTGTCTTCTTAAAATTATTATAATTTAACCAATTTGTATTTATTGAAATCTCAAAATCTCTTCGTAATAAGTGTTGTAATCTGACATTTTTATAATAGTGTTTCTGTGCTATAAAATGTATTACAATAACATAGTAGTATTGGATATCATTTTATATTAAATACAAAAACCGTAATAATTTAAAATGTATTCACAGTTTACATCTAATAAAAATAGGTGCCTATTAAATAGTATATATAAAATGTAATTATTAAAGCACAATATACAGAGTGATTCTTTTAAGTGGGTACACTAATTATCTCGAAAAGTATTTACTTTTTTCAAAATATTTTTTACATGGTTTCAAAATGTTAAAAAACCAACGTTTTAATTAAAAAATTATATTTTTAAATATTTTTTATCCTTATAATTTTTTAAGTTTTTTACTTTTTTGAATGACAACATAGAGTTTTAATTTCATATTCCAAAGCACAATATTTTCCTAACTATTTTGATTCATAAAAATCGAATTTAGGGCTAGTAGTTTTTGAGTTATAAGTATTTAAAGTTTAGATYGGCAGAGTGGAGTGGTACGGGGTTACCCC